GGGGGGAGGGGGGGGGGGGGGGGGGGGGCGTATAGGAAGGAGAGCAGAAAGGGGGGGGGGGGGAAATGAGTCTTCCTCACCGTGCAAATTGACGAACATGCCTTCTTGTATCAAAAACGCTCTCTTGGGTACAGTAAGTAGTATTTGACATGATCAATTTCATGATTTTCCTACCTCTCCCCTCGCATCATCAGTCCCCGCCAATCCCCCCTGCAGTTAGTAGTAGTTACAACGAAAATTTAGTGAGAGTGCAAGAGAAAGTGTACGCATTCGGTGGTGATGGAGCGCTTGTTGTTTCGTGAACATACCGTATATAACACAAGATAACACACCCACCCCCTGGACCGATTTTCAAAGCTCGATTTCTCCACGACGAAGAGGATGCATAGACGAAAGGATACGTTTTCAGAGAGCTCTCGACCAGACGGCTTGAACGCCGCCGTTTTCGGCCCTGCGACTGTTGCTGCTGTTGAAAAATCGAGCTTTGAAAATCGGTCCAGGGGGTGTGTTCTCTTATGTCATATAAGGTACATGCCCGAGGAAAGTTGTGGCTGAACCCTACAATACTACCCCTGTAGTCGAAGAGGACTACAGCAGCAGCAGTACTTCTTGCGTTGCAGAGATGGTCAGGAGGCAGGCATGTTCGTCACAGGGGCCCTGCTGAAAATAATGGCCGGCCATGTGGTAGGTGGACAGAGGGGTAGAACTCGCTAGATGAGGCCAGCAACCAAGTGCATCGTCACGCGAGCAATAAAAGGTTACAGACCTGATCATGGTCGCCGAACAGTTTCGTTTCACTGGCTGTCTTGGTTTTTGTTGTCTCTTCTCTCCTTGCTGAAAAAAAAAAAAGTCGCGCACAAGCACATGCTACCACACCCACACCACATGCTCACCATATTTTGCGCATGCGATGTGTGTGTGTGCAACCCTGTCTCATCCACAAAAAGGTCCTCGAACCCCCGCGCCTGTGCGCGCATATACACCCCGTAGATGACATCTCGTCTGCTGGACCCCCTGCTAACTCGGAACAGAACAACTGCCACCGACAATACACACGCCTTGCTTAACTTAGTTGCCAGGGGGGGCGCGAAATACTTCCGTTAAAATTTTGAAGGCAAGCACTGCAGGAGGAGAGTAAGGCGGAGAAATTCCTCCCGTCCGTGTGACCCCCGCCGGTGCATCAAACATGAATATTGCGTAGACTGGCGCCCACAAGAAGATGGGACGAAAAAAAAAACTAAAAACTAAAAAACATTACTATTTGAAAGCTTCCGTGCCTCGACGAGAAACCATTTACCAGGTATGTACCACCAAGAACAACGACGATCACACAACAGAAAGAAGAAGAGGAATCCAAAATATAAGCACAAACAACCAAATCGAAGCAGGGGGGGAGATATTTATCGTAAAAAGGCGACAGACAGACACATCCATCCCTTACCTACACGTGAGACCGACCGCCTAACTAACCGCCGCCTTGCTTGGTGCCGTCATCAGAACGAACGGGGCTAGTCGTCAGTGGTCCAGCACTAGGCCCAGTGCACATAGCCTAACTCTTGTTGTGACGTCATGTTCACTCACTGGCGGGGAATGGGTAAACACCCCCTCGCTGACGGCCGGCCTCACCACCAACAACCAACGTCTAGTTCTACCGCTTGGCCGCAGCACCTACCTTCTTCCGCGTGACGGAGAGAACCGATGCATGAAGAAAAAAAAAATCGCCTTAGGGGGGCCGGGGGGGGGATCGATCGGTGTCAAGTCTTTGCAGACGCCAAACAAGGTGGGCGAGTGCACACGAACGACTAACAGGTCTATCACGCGAACAAACCACCTGCCAGCAGGTTAGACCCGCTTCGGCTCGGTTGCGGCTTCCCTCCTTGTAACAACCCGTGTGCCCACTCATCCAACCAACCAACCAACCAACCGACCAACCAAAATCTCTACACAAGCGCGCATTTCATACGCATACCGAAAAGATAACAGTTCCTTCCGACCTACAGACCGTCAAGACGCCAGCGGGTGCATGACAACAGCGAAGGATTTTCTTTCGTCGTCGTCCACGTCTCGCTACGGTGTTTTTGTGTCATTTCGGCCAGTTCTTTTGCCCCCCCCCCCCCCCCACCAAACGCAACTGCAAAAGGACAAAATACCAGGCATACAACTTCCAATTTCTTAGGGAGCACAAGGCGCGTACGTACGTAATTTGCAAGGCACACAAAAACACACAACTGACTGCGACAGCAGCAGGAGCGATGGGTGACAACAGGGAAGGGCAGTTTAGTTCCGCCACGGACACATGCGGTGCTATGATACCAGCCCGCGACAATTCGACACCTACAGCAGTACGACACCAATTTTCAATTTTTGAGCAAGTGAGTCGCGTTTGAAAGACCGCTCGGGAGCTTTTGATAGATAGATAGGCGTATCCCGTCCCTACAGGGAGCTTTTGATAGAAAGATAGGCGTATCCCCTCCCTACAGGGAGCTTTTGATATAAAGATAGGCGTACCCCCTCCCAACAGGACGCCCGCCACACACACACTAGGAATGGGACGTTGACAGCAAGATGGATCGGCCAAAAAGGACGCACAAAGCAGAGAGACCAGGAGATGGACATCATCAACAACCAAGACCAAAAGAAAACGAGGAAGAAATATACTGAAGAAGCCACGAAAAATCTACCGCCACCGCTACTACACCAGCACGCAGAAAATATCTTACAAAACCGAAAGTTAAACCTATATACTCCGGCCGTCTCTACCCAAACACTACTAAAAAAATCGAGGAAAGTCAAGACACAGCAGAAAATGGATTACCACAACTCTTTCCACTTGAGGGTGGGAAGCAGAACAGACACCCCACGTTCGGGCAAGGAGCAGCAAGGCGCGGAGACCTCTCTCTAATTGTCGACAAACTTGCATCGGTTCAGCGGTTCTAATCGCGCGCTGCACACAAGATCGCACCAAAGCTACTTCTACACGTGTACCATCACTGACTGGCAGATTTCAAGCATGGAAAGAGAGCAACAAGGACAAAACACGGAAACGTCATCAATCAAACGAGGGGCAACCAACTACGCCCCCCCCCCGCCCGCCTTCCCCCTCCCTCCCGTACTACCCTGAAGGAAACAGCAACACCAAAACAAGGGAAACACACCACATATTGTTGGCGCTCGCTAACATCGCGCTTGCCAATCATCGCCATCCAAGAGCCGGCCTGGTCCGGTGGGGAAAAACAAGAAGCGGGTTCGAATGTGCTCCGGACTAGGCATGTCGAGAAAATACGCTTATACACACGGCCGCTGCAGCAGCAGCGGTCGAAAGCAACCCCGCCCCCCTTCCCAGCGAGCTCATCGTGCTCACTCTGTTGATTGATATTTTGACAACCATACGTAAATCGATGCTCCCGTTTTCGTAAACGGGACAAAACACGAACCTCTACGCAACCTTTCATGTCGCGTTCAAAACTCACTGCCTGGTTACCCCCCCCCCCCCCCCTCTATCTCTGACCACGGCTAAACACAGCGGCGATCACTTGCTTTACACACGCGCGTGCGACCCGCCCGGCGCACAACAGAGAACGGGAGGAGACAAGACACAACAATAAAACTTTTCAGAAGTGGGAAAAAATACAATGAAAGGGAGGGGTAAAACAGCCAGGGAGAAAAAGCGTGGCCTGCCTCGCCATGTTACATGCCATTTAAAAATCTGTGAAGGAACACGGGCCATAGCGGCGATGACGCCGTTCGGCGCGGGGGACACGCAGATAGTGCCGCACGGTAACAAAAGGGTACCTCTAGCAGGAAAGGAGGCCATCAACCATTCCTCAGGCACGCGCCCGACAAAGGCAAAAAACTGTCGACAGACACACAAAACACCTGAGCCCAGGCCACGGCGAAGAAGGCAAAACACTTGTGCGCCATCAAAGAAAGCCAGCATGCCCGCTGCAGCAGCAAGAGGAGGCGGAGGAGGGGGGAACAGAAGGGAGAGTAGGAGAAGCGGTGGCGGCGGCGGCGGCGGCCGCACAAGATGCTGGCTCACTTAAGAAACGCACAAAAAAGGACAGCTAAGATCTCCTTACCACCCGTATGAACCGGCCGCGACGAGACCTTGTCCTCTCTCGCTGGGCCTCTCGCCTCACGATCCTTCCAGGAAGGAACAAGCCAGGCGCGGCAAAGGCCACGTGCATCACATCGAGTAATCGGCGGGCCACGCGGCTGCGGCTGCGGCTGCGGCGGCAGCGGCGGCGGCGCCCTCCTGGTCAAGCCCCCCGGGGGCTCGCTGCTGCTGCTGTTGCTGCTGCTGCCGCTGATGCTGCTGATGCAGAGGCACCTCCCACCCGCCCCGCCAGCCACCCTCCCTGCCCTCGCTCCTATCCCTGGCCCCGCCACCGGGGCCATTTGGCCCCCGCTGCCCCATCTCGCCGTCCCCTGCAGAGGACCGGGTAGTAGCGGCACTCGCGGGCACGCCGGTCCCGTCAAGAAAAGAAGGGGAGGGTCCGCTCCGCTCCGCACCGCCGCCGGCGCGGCCTCTATCGCCGCCATCACCCCAGCTGTTCGTCGCCGCACTGCCCGTAGCGCCGGCCATGGCCCCATCGCTGGCGATAGAGACAGGGGGCGCGTCGCGGAAGCTCTGCCCGCCGCCGGCGGCCGCCGCCGCTGCCGCTCCCGCGAGAAGGTCGCGCGCCGAGTCCATTTCCATACCACCACCACCACCACCACCACCCCGACCACCACTACCACTACCACCACCACCACCACCACCGCTACAAATACCACTGCCATCACTCCTCTGCGACACTTGCTGATGAGGTTGATGTCGTCCCCCCCCTCCCCCCTCCCCCGCCGTCGAGCCACGGTCTCCCCCACCGGTCCTCCATCTGCTCACCCCCGGGTCCGACCTATCAGCGCTGCCGTCGCCAGCGTTGTTATCATCGGTGTCGACCCCGCCGCGCCATCTCGCAGCGGCAGCGGCGGCGGCCGCCTCGCTGTTTCCGTAGAGCTCCTCGGCCGATAACCTTAACCCGCCGCCGCCGCCGCCGCCGCCGGAGGGGGGAGGCAAGAAGCGCATCCCCTGGTGATCGGAAAACGCCTTGCCATAATGCTGCCGCGCGTGCATCGCTGAGGAGGCGGCGCCGGCACCGGCGTCTCCGGTGTTGTGTCCCTCCCCCTGCGGGGGCAAGTCCTGGTCTGGTCGGCGACGGCTGCTGTTGCTGCCGTGGTGGTGGGGGGCTATCCCGCTCCCGCTCCCGACCCGCCCACCGCCGCCGCCGCCGCCGCCGCCGCCACGGACGAAGCCGTTGCTGCTGCCGCGATGGCGGGCGTCTAGGATAGCCCCGAGGGCGTTAGAGCTGTCGAAGGAGCCGACGCTGGGCGCGTGGGAAGGGGCCGGGGACGAAGCGGAGACGTAGCTTCGGCCGAGGAAGTGCGGCCGCTGCTCGTTGGGCAGTGGTGGCGGCGGTGGCATCGGCGGTGGAGGCAACCCTTGCCGGTAGGGGCTGCTTCTTTCGGGGGAGGCGAGACTGCCGGCGCCGGCTCCGTAGCCCAGGATGTTGTTGCTCATCGAAGGGCTGAGGTTGTAGTCGTCGCCGCTCCTCTGCCCCCCCCCCCCCAGGACGTCCCCAGGAAAGGA